CTGCTGCTCTCTGCCCGACACCGCAGCCCTTCCTCCTGGCTCGCAAACCTTGGCTACATCTTAGAGCTCGTTATTAAACCTCTGTGTGAAGACGTGGGGTTCGACGCCGTGCCGTGTGCTAGGACATACACCAGAGAGAAGAGGAGTTTATTGCACGGAGCAGGAATTCCTCCCCGGTGTAGTCACAAAGCTTTGAACTATCGGTGGGGAGCTGTTACTCACGCAGCCCGGGGCTATCTGCAGTTGGACGAGGCGGTCTCTAAAACCAGGCAAGCCATCTGGTGCAGACCTCCAGTTTCATATTTCAGGGGATGAACTCCTGCAGAGTTCACTTACGGCTGCTTTTGCAAAAGCCTCCAACTCTGCAGAATTGGGCGTCTGATATCCTGAAGTTAAACATGTGGTTTTTCCTTCTGCCCCTCCATCAAGGGGCCTTTTTCCTGCTCTACAGAGAGGAGCACGATTGCACACTGAGCTGGAGAAATCATGGTCAAATGTTCGTTTTCTGTTTCTTCCCTTTTTTGGTGCCCAATTTGAAATAAGCTGGATCTAATTTTCTGGGGTGCCGAATCCCTTCCATATGAGTTTGGTGGAAGGTGCAAATGCCATAACCACCAACACGCTCCAAGTTAGTGCTTTCACAGGAAAGCTTTGCTGAATCTTGTTGCAGCCATTTCAAGTGCTGCCTGGGCCTGTTGGCCATGCCTCTTCTACCAGCACGATCCAGTAAGCGGAAGGGACGTTCACCTGTATCTCTGCCGCAGTGATATTGGTTCGCTCGGTTATTTAGGTTGAACCACGGGTGCAGGAGGGTTTGCACATGGGTGCTGTGATTGTACTGGCTGAGGCCCAACTGGTGTTCCCTTCTGCTACGAGGGGCAGAAACTCCAGCAGATGCGTAGGGCAGGCAAGGGGGAGCAGTAGCTGTTGCAGCAACATGTACCAGCACTTGTCTGCCAAAGCTCTTTTGAGACCATTTTCATGGAATCATAGAGTACCTCAAGTTGGAAGAGACCCATAAGGATCATCAAGTCCTACTCCCAAGAGGAAGACATTCGTCTTTGGTTGAAGACATTCATCTTTGGCTCACTGGAAGTTCTGGAGGGAACTGGCATGACAGCCAGACTTAGGATTGCAGAGTTCTTGGTGGCCAGCACGTGCATAGCCACAGTTCAAGGTTTTGTGTCTCTCCCAGCCCTGCTCCCACCCTGTGTCTCCTCATCTGCAGAGGGAGAAACGTGTGCTTGGTGCAGGTGTTGGAGTAGGACTTCGCTGGCTCCGTCCTGCTGCTGCTTTCTGCTTCGTTGGTTTTTAACCAACATGTGCGGAATGCACAATCAGCATCTTGGGGAAGCAGCGGTAGGAAAGAGGAAGCTCACACAGAATATAAATAGCCAAATTTTAAAATGTACCAGTGTAGCAGCTCGCCTGGCTCTTGGCACGAGCCTGGTTGAAGACGGCTGGGAAGCTGCATACTTCGTGTGCGGTTTGCAAAGGGGGAACTTTGGGGGATATCGCACAGGTCAGCAAGACAAAAAATGAATGAATGTGACAGTCTTGAATTTAGGAAGGAAACGAAATTTGCTTCTACGCACATCAAAATTGGGTGTATCCTCTGCACGTGACACGAAATAACGGAGTGAGAACCCCTGCCCGGTGATGGCAATACTTTCCACTGTAGTTGCACAGAGCTTGCCAATGATTCATGGGTTGATCCTGGGACATTTTGTCCTCCCATCTGATTTGATTTCTTTATTAATTTAATTGCATCTCAGCAAGCATCTGATTTCTCTTGATATTTGTGTCTGGGGTTTACAGCTGCCCAGTCAAATCTCTCTTCTGAGTTAGACTGTACAGGAGTCTGGTCCTTCTGGACCCAGAGCTTCTCTCCAGCCCAATGGCAGCATAACTGGAAGATACGCAGGGTAGGGCTGATCTGCAGGTTGGGTGATAAAGTCTGGGAGAGCGCCCAGGAGAGCTGATGTGAAGTGCCCTTGGTAGCGATCCCCCTTCCCTATCTGTGTCCCTTGGGCAGTGGGCTTGTGCACCCAAGAGGCATCTACTGCAGTTGCTTCTGGAGGGCGGCACATGGCTGCGGGCACCAGGGTCTGACGGTCTTCATGGACAAACTGGGAAGAGTTCCTACAGCTTTTATTTCCTTTTATTGGAAACAGCATCTCTAGGTGTAAGAAGGACAACTTGGCTGTCTTGGGATCGCGTTAGGTAGCTGATCTAGAGCGGGCCTGAGGCTTTAGCAGTGCCAGTGCCCCCAGTTCCCAGCTAAGGCATCTCTGCTTGTGGGGTCAGTACCTACCTGGTGTAGGAGCATCTCGTTCCTGTGAGCTTTTGGTGGAGAGGTAGAGAGGTGATGGGGGAGAAGCCCAGCTCTTGGTTGCTGGTGCCTTTGGGTACGTACCAGCTCACCTTCCCCCTCGCTGACGTGTTTAAACGGCCTCATCTTCCCCATGCCAGGGCCAATGTCACCCTGTCACGGGTGGCCACTCCCAGCACGGATGTGACACGGGGCTGCAGAGGAGCGGGGGGGTCGGGGTGGGCTCAGGGGCTTGCTCGTGTCCTTGTTGGTGTTCAGGCTGGGTGGTACCAACCATTGGGGCTCGGGGCTGCCAGCGCCTGGGCCAGCGAAGCCAAGGGGGAGCTGGGCTCAGATCTGCAGTGCCCCCAGCATCCAGCCTCCTCAGCCTGAGGGATCTGTCAAGGCAGGAGGGAGACGTGTCTTCATGTCACGCTGTCTAGGAAGGCACAGAGCACGCCATGCCGGCGAGTGCGTGCCTTTCTCATTCTTGAAATTCCGACCTTTTTATACTTGAACATAAACATATGCCATGATTTATCCCAGAGCAGAGAGCAAGAGGGGGGACTGGCGCAGGTGTCCGGGAGGATGTCTGTCTGTCCACTGCCTTGTGCGGGTGCTGTCAGGGTTGGTCTGGAAGCCAGCGAATCCTGGGAAAGACTTCTGATGTTCACAGCACAGACGAGGTTAGGAGCCTCTCAAACCCTCAAGCTTCAGCAAACCAAGCCTCTTGATAGTCTGGCATGAAGTGAGAAGAGCAGTTTCAGCAGAAGGCGAGGAAGAAGCCCAATAACCCTGCCGGGGGGGGTTTCTCTGTCCTCATTCATTACAGTCATGAATGAGAGGCTTTTTAAAGTTTTTCCCCTTACTCGTTGAGCTGGCTGCGGTTCCCTGCCTTAATTCCTTGCTAACAACAAGCACTTGACTTGGGCAAGGTGCGATAACAGCGCAGTGACCACTGCTGTGATGGCGATGATAAAGGAGGGTGGTTAAAGAGTGTGCAAAGTGCACGTTCCGTACATCAGCTCAGGGTTATGTTCGGTGCTTTCTGCTCGGTGTCCCGAGATGTGCAGCATCGCCTGACGCCAGGGCCCTGGGCAGGGGCTGTTCTCACGTTCACCGGGAGCGGTTTGGGAGGAGGATGCTTTGCAGGGAGCAGCAGCGCTCCTGGGGCTCCATCCTGGGTCGCCCCACGGCAGCTTGCAGCTCCTTCCCCCGCGAGCCCTGCGTGGTTGCCATCGCTCGGGGTTTTTTATGCTCCTGAGATGTGCAGCATCGCCTGACGCCAGGGCCCTGGGCAGGGGCTGTTCTCACGTTCACCGGGAGCGGTTTGGGAGGAGGATGCTTTGCAGGGAGCAGCAGCGCTCCTGGGGCTCCATCCTGGGTCGCCCCACGGCAGCTTGCAGCTCCTTCCCCCGCGAGCCCTGCGTGGTTGCCATCGCTCGGGGTTTTTAGTGCTCCTGAGAGGCAGATGGCAGGGCAAGCCGTGGGCTGGCTCTGGCCCCTGGCTGGCGCCGTGACAGGCAGGGGGGACTTGTCCCCAAGCCCCTGCACCCCAACACGTGGTCACCTCCCCCTGCTAACCAGCTTACTGCTTTCGGGCATTTTCCCCATCTGCTGAGCAGTGGGTTTTGCCGCGTGTTGCACCATGTCCTGCCATTTGGCGTGGGGGATGGAGGGCGGGGGAGATCCCCGCCGTGTTTAAAAGGATCTGGACAAATCCTCTTAAAGAGAGGCACTGACTCAGCAGAGCATGGCGAGGGAGGAGGAGGAGGAAGGAACCGAATTATCCTTGTGGGGCTGGAGCTGCTGCTGAGGCCCATGCTGGCGTGTGGGGCTGGGGGAGCTGGGGACCTGCCCCAAGAAGCATCCCCTCTTCCCTCACCAAGTTTTAGGTGGTCTCCATCTCCCCCGAGCAGAAACAAAAGCCTCACAGCTGGGTCGGGCTGTGGCTTGGAGATACCTGTCCCCAGGGGTCCAGGGACCTGTCCCAGCTGTGCCTGAGCCCCCCCCCCAGTGCCGCTGCCTGGGTTTTCCCCCCCCCCAGCTCTGAGCTCTCCCCTTGAGTTTCTGCCTTGTGTGCGTGGCCAGCGCTGCCGAAGCTCACGGCCGGCTTTGTTTCCCGGTTATTATTTATTACCAAAGGTGAGCTGAGGTGCTCAGTTCCCACAGGGGCAGATTACCAAGATTACGGTCAGACCAGGCAGCAATGTCACCTTATGGGAAAAGCAGAGGCTTGGGGAAGGGGAAGCAGCCAGGGCTGGGTACGGGGATGTGCTGCCACCCGCCCCGCTCACTGCCTGGCGAGGGGTCCCCCTCTGCCCAGCACCCAGCGAGGGGTCCCCCTCTGCCCAGCACCCAGCAAGGGGTCCCCCTCTGCCCAGCACCTGGCACTGGTGCAGCCTTGGTTTGCTGAAGGGCTGGGATGCAGAGGCGGGGGACACGGAGCAGACTGAGAGCAGCTTCCCCAAGTCTTGGCTCTGCCTGCGTGCAGGCTCAGGTGGGCCCAGGGTTAAGCTGGCCAGGAAGACTGGTGACGCCTGGTTTGCATTTCTGAGCCGGCGAGGGAGACTCGCTGCCTGCCGGCTGTTGCCTTTGGCTTGCTGAGATGCCTCGTACAAGCCCGCAGGAGCACCTCTGTCACGCTTCACCCTCCTTATCTCATGGTGTATCTTGTCCTCCCGTGCAGAGCTCCACACAGGAGATTGGAGAAGAGCTGGAGGATGGTGTGATCTACAGCATATCCCTCCGGAAAGTGCAGCTCCATCACACCGCCAACAAAGGGCAGCGATGGCTGGGGGTAAGACGGGGGCTCCGTCAGCCTCCTGCCACGGGGTGTTTTCAGATGTTTCCCTGCCAGAGACATGGTAACCTGATGTCAGGGCTTGGCAGGGTCGATACCAGCCCATGTCCTGCCCTCTCCTTGCTTCCCCCATATGCTCCTGTCCAGGGGGTTCCTTCCAAGCTTTATCTGAAAATCAAGTATTTATTTGGGAGTGGGGTGGGGGAGCAGCCGCTGGCCTCTGCCCTGCAGCAAGGGGCACGGGGGAAACAATCTAAAGCCCCATTTGGCAAAATAGGGAAACCCTGATTTGCATCTAGATTCTGGCAACCTTGAGGCCTTTCCTGGGATTTCCCAAACGCTGAAGTATTCTCAGCTGAATTGCTGGTATTTGGTGTTGGAGGAGACCCAGCTTCCCTTTCCCCAGGCCCATCGCAGGAGCCCCAAGCGCTGTAGGGGGTCCGTGGTCCCAGCCTAGACCCAAAAGCATCTTGCAAAGCTGTCGGGACCACATTGAACATGTCTGTCTTCACCCAGCCCACTGACTTCTGCTCTTGTCCTGGCAGTTTGAGAATGAGTCAGCCTTAAACCTCTACGAGACGTGTAAGGTGCGGACGATAAAAGCCGGGACTTTGGAGAAGCTGGTGGAGTACCTGGTCTCAGCCTTCAAGGGCAATGACTCCACCTATGTCACCATCTTCCTCTGCACTTACCGGGCCTTTGCCACCACCAAGCAAGTGCTGGACCTACTGCTTAACAGGTAAGGCTGCCCCAAGCCCCGAAACGCAGCCGAGGGTGACCGGTGTCTGAGCCCCCTTGGCGAGGAAAGCCCCAGATCTTCTGCTGCCATGCCTTGGAGGGCTGATGGGCTTCTCCCAACCCCCTCAGCATGAAGGTTTTGGGGCAGGGCAGGGAGCTGGAGCCCTTCCAGCCAGCTCCCTGCTGCGAGGTGGCCAGTGCTGGCTGCTTCCCTCTTCCCATAACGCAGGGACCATGGCAGAGGGAGGGGAGCAGGACAGTGCCTGAGAGGTTCATCCCCTGGCAGAGCTGGGGGTCATGTGGAGGCAGAAGAGGCAGCACTGAGACACAGCCGAGTCCAGGATGCTCACTGCCTCCTCGCTGTGCCCCACCAGGTACGGCAAACTCCACGTGCAGGCGAATGGGGACCATGCCAGGCACGCTGTGGACGAGAGGTTGGAGCTGAAGAAGTAAGTCTGACTGTGCTGTGGGGTGGCTCTGGTGGTAGCTCTTTGGTTCTCGTGCAAAGGCATGTGTTTTCCCAGGGGTGCTCCTGGTGCCTGGGGCTCGTGGGGGTGCAAACCGGTTTCTCCTGGCACCTGATTCTCACACGGGTTTGCCGGTGTTTCCCCCTTCCCCGCAGCACCATCTCCTCCATCCTGGGCGCCTGGCTGGACCAGTACTCAGAGGACTTCCGCAAGCCCCCAGACTTCACCTGCCTCAAGCAGCTCATCTCCTACGTGTGCCACAACATCCCTGGCTCAGACCTGGAGCGCCGAGCCCGCATCCTGCTGGCCCAGTTCCAGCAGCAAGAGCAGAGCGAGTCCGAGGCGGAAGGTGGGGTCCTTTCCCCGTTCGTGGGGGGTCATCTGGGGCTGCGGGTGGAGAGAGTGCTGCTGCTTGGCATCAAGGGTCTCCAAAACCTCAGGTCTTGCCACGTGGGTGAGCCTCCATAAACCCTGCATGCATTTACATGGAGGTCTACCAGGAAGCTAATCCAGCTGCACCAGAAGTGGGATTTCTAAGTGGATTAGCTAATCTGCCTTTAATCCTCTGCAGACACTTGCGTCTGGGTTTAAAATGACTATCCTTTTATCTGAGCCTCATTTCTCGAGGCGTGAAGCCAGATGGGAATTAAGAGCCTGGGAGGTGGGATGTGGGTGTCCACAGCAGGGGGCTGGCATGGGTCAGCGTGGGCTCTGGCTCATGGCAGCGCTGCACTGCTCAGCTTCGCGCCGTCTCTCGCAGCTGTGGACCACGGCGGCTGCACCTTCCAGCTGGTGGAGGAGAACGGGCTCGGGGACGGGAAGCCGGATTTCCTCTCCTTCTCCCCAGAGATGGTGGCAGAACAGTTCACGCTGATGGATGCTGTGAGTGTTCATTTGACAGCCGGGTCGATGGTACTCTGCCCGTCTGCTACCTGCTGCTCTTCCCTTCCACCTTTTCCTCCTGCGCCCTTCCCAGGGACCCCAAAGAGACCCATCTCCATCCCTTTATCTTCCAGGAGCTGTTTAAGAAAGTGGTGCCTTACCACTGCCTGGGCTGCATCTGGTCCCAGCGAGACAAGAAGGGCAAAGAGCACCTGGCGCCCACCATCCGTGCCACAGTCTCGCAGTTCAATAGTGTGGCCAACTGTGTCATTGCCACGTGCCTCGGAGACCGGTCCCTGAAGCCGCAGCAGAGGGCTAAAGTGGTGGAGCGGTGGATCGAAGTGGCTCGGGTAGGAAAGCTCACCATCCCGCTTGCCTCCCACCTCGGCCCGAGGTTTTGCAGTGTGCGAATCCCAGCAGATCCCTGGATTTTCTTTAACGCTGAGTCCTGTCATCTCCTTGTCTGCCCCTAGGAGTGCCGCATCCTGAAGAACTTCTCCTCCCTCCGAGCCATCCTCTCGGCTCTGCAGTGCAATGCTGTTCACCGGCTGAAGAAGACCTGGGACGAGGTCCTACGGTAAGCAGCACCTGCTGGGCTCCTGCGGCCGCGGGGAGGTTTCAAGGGGGAGGTTGTGCTGTGGCCGTGGCCCTTGAATGTGTAGATGGGATCATCTCGGCTCCAGCATTGCCTCTTGGAGTGTGCCCAAAACCCAAGGACTGGTGTAAGGTGTCAGGGACTTAAGGAGGGTGAGGAAATAAAAGCACCATCACCACCACCCTGGAATAGCCCCCAAACAGCCAGGCCCTGCTAGACCTGGGAGCATTGCAGGGTCCCTTGGGTGAGCAGAAGAGAGCCCAAGGAGGAGACACCAAGGTGGCTGACTTCCCCCTGTGTTTTTCCCTGAGCAGGGAGAGCTTCCGCACTTTCCATGAGCTCTCCGAGATCTTCTCCGATGAGAACAACCACTCGCTGAGCCGGGAGCTTCTCATCAAGGTATGGGGAAGCAGCACCCGCATCGCCCTGTCTCTGGCAGGGAGCTCGGGCTGATGCTGGCAGAAGTTTCCACGGGGTTCCAGCCACCAGGCTAAAGCCCTGGCAGCGCTGCTGGGGTTGCAGGCAGGGCCTGCTGAGTCTGAGGAGCAGGCAGGGGGTTTGGACCAGGCTGAGCTTTCTGCTTCTCCACCCAAAAGCAGAGCAATTCAGCCAGCAGAGATAAGCGGTGGGACAGGATCCAGTGCACCAGGTGATGGCTTCTCCCTAGAGGCAGCTGCGTTTTTACAGCCTGGTGCAAAGTCCTCTTGATTTCGGGTGGGGTTTTTAGGGTTTGTGAAAGGCTGCAGCAAAAATGTCCTTCTTCCCCGTGGAGCCTCTCCGCAGCTTCCCAGCCTAGATCCAGTTTGGGGGCTGAGAGGACACAAAATACAGAAGGGAACAAAACATCCCATTGAGGAGCTATTTATACAGAGCTGGAAACGGGAGCAGCGGTTCCTATTCACTAAGCCTCTCCTCCCTGTGAGCCACAAAAAGGCTCAGCTGTGATTTCCTCCTCTTCCCCTCATCCCTCTTGCCCTCTACAAGGGAAGCAGGGGTGAATTTTAGCTCCTCTATTAGTGCAGTTTCCCACCTGCGCTGATCCCCACCTCTCTCCACCATCCAGGAGGGCACATCCAAATTCGCCACCTTGGAGATCAACCCGAAGAGGGCTCAGAAGCGGCAGCAGCAGCAGCGAGAGATGGTGAGTCCGGCACGACCGCCCCCGTGCCCCCTCCCCAGCGGCCATCCAGGCTGGTCCCAGCTCGCTGCTGACCCCGCTGTCCCTTGCTGTCCCCGCAGGGCGTGATGCAGGGCACCATTCCCTACCTTGGCACCTTCCTCACAGACCTGGTGATGCTTGACACCGCCATGAAGGATTTCCTGGACGTATGTACCTCCTCCAGCTCTATCCTCCCCTTCCTCTCCTCCTTCCAAACAGCTGCCCCAGAGCCTGGGTGGATAAATGGAGGGCTGGTCCCCCGTGCGTCCTATATTGGACACTGCACCCTGTGCAGCCTATTTCTGATGCTGCACCCTGTGCATCCTATATCCGACGCTGCACCATGTGCATCCGCCTCCGTCAGCCCGTGGAAATGGGCTGTTCTTGTGTTGCCCCTCAGCAGGGATGCCCACACGGCAGTGGCAGCAAGCCAAGGGGCAGGTGGGGGTGGGAGCAATTTTTTTCTGCCTGCTCCACACTGACTTTCAGCTCCTTTTTTTCCAGGGTGGGCTGATCAACTTTGAGAAGAGAAGGAAGGTGAGAGCTTTGCAGCAGCACAGCGGGGTGGAGGGAGGCGGCTGACTTGGTGCAAGCCCAGGCTGTGCCAGTCACTTTGGGGTTGATCCCTCTCCTTTTTTTGCTGTCATGTTCTTCATTTTTGGGGAGGGGGATTCTGGTCCTTCATATTTATCTCCGTGTGTGGGGCTGGGCTGTTCATAGAGAAGGCTGGGGCTGGCCAACATATCTGGTCTCATGGCCTACGTTTGCTCCAGGAGTTTGAAGTCATCGCCCAGATCAAGCTGCTTCAGTCGGCCTGCAACAACTACAGCTTCACGCAAGAGGACCAGTTTGTGGAGTGGTTCCACAGCCTGGAGCGGCTCAGTGAGGCTGAGAGGTGAGTGTGAGCGGGGTGCTGGTGCATCGGGAGGTCCCACTGCTCGTCTCCGGCTGTTGAGCAGCAGCTGCCCCGAGCTCCACTTCCTCCTCTGCCTCCCTCGCCATGGCAGCACAGAGAGCTCAAACCCTCATCTCTCCCCTCCCAGCTATGGGCTGTCGTGCGAGATCGAGCCGCTGTCAGAGTCGGCCAGCAACACATTGAAGGCAAAGAAAAACACAGGCATCATCAAGCGATGGAGCGAGTGAGTCTGCTCATCCCCGGTGGGGTGCGGGGTGGAGGTGGGGGCCAGCGCAGGGTGGCTCTGGCTGAGGATTGCAGGGCACCGGGCTGGGGTGGCCCCTGCCCTGCCAGCCAGAGGCACCCTTGCTCTGCTCAGTTCTCACCTGAGCCCGGGCCCCCCCCCCACAGGCAGCTCCCACTCGAAATCCTTCGACCAGCTCAAGTGCGGGCAGTACCTGTGCAGCGGGGACGCCACCGACTCCGTGAGCGTCACCTCCGCCGGCTCCAGCAGCTCCGATGTGGAGGAGATCAACATCAGCTTCATCCCTGAGTCCCCCGACTGCCAGGAGAAGAAGGTACGGGGCAGCGAGCGGGGCTGGAGGAGTGGGTGGGGGTCCCGGGGGCTGTTTCTGACCCGCCGGGGCTAGGGAGGTCCCTGCTCTCACTGTGTCCTCCGCATCCCCTCTCCTCCCTGCCCTCCAGTTCTGGGAATCCACATCCCTCTCCTCCCTGGACACATCAGGCATCGGCTCAGGCTCCAGCAGTGCCTCGTCCTCTTCCGTCTCTTCCACGCCGGTGACGGCCTCCCGCACCCACAAGCGCTCGGTCTCCGGCATCTCCAGCTATTCCTCCCTCTCGCTCCCCCTCTACAACCAGCAGGTCGACGACTGCTGCATCATCCGTGTCAGCCTGGCTGTGGACAACGGCAACATGTACAAGAGCATTCTGGTTAGTACGGGGCACCCGTGGCGATACCAGGGAGGGGTGGATCGCCCTGCTTGGATGCGGGCATGGCCCATTTTGGGAGGAGACAGTGGTGGGAGGCTTTGCAGCGTTTTGCACCCCCCAGGTTAATAACACTCTGCGCTCACAGGTGACGAGCCAGGATAAGACTCCGGTTGTTATTCGCAAAGCCATGGCCAAACATAACTTGGACGGGGACCGACCTGAAGAATATGAGCTTGTTCAGATCATCTCAGAGGAGAGAGGTGTGTGCTGGGGTGGGGGGTCTTTCCTGGGCGCTGTGTCCCCAGCCAGCCATGCAGCCCTGCAGCCTGGGCAGCCCCGGGTTGGAGCTGGGCTGGGTGGTGACAGCAAGAGGGGTCCTAGCACCCAGGGACAACTCCCAGCCCTTCAGGGAAAGGGTGCCTGACTGACCTGCATCCTTGGTCACTTCCAGAGCTAAAGATCCCTGACAACGCCAACGTCTTCTACGCCATGAACTCTGCCGCCAACTACGACTTTGTGCTCAAGAAGCGGGGCTTCTCCAAAGGGGTGAAGATCAAGCACGGCTCCAGCTCCACCCTGCCCAGGATGAAGCAGAAAGGCCTGAAGATCGCCAAAGGCATCTTCTAGCCTCAGCCCCACTGCCACCCATCACCAACGGGGCCTTGGGGGCAGGCTGCTCCGAGCTCTGCTGCGGCCAGTCCTTGTGCCGCCTGGCATGGCAAGAGGAGCGACCCTCGCCCGCGGGGGATGGCCGTGCATCTCCCTCCCACACCAAGAGCCGGGGCGCTTTGGCAACCGGTGTCGGCCTCCGCCTCTCTCTGCACAAGCTCCCGTTTCAATCAGGTCTTTTTTTCTACACAGGAAGGCAGCAGGGGGGAACTCTCTATTTTCTTTTTTTTTTGTTGTTTTTAACCTTCCACAGTGCGACACTAGTCCAGCTGCCAGCCAGCCCAGAGCTGGAGCCCACCTCTGCCATAGGTGCCTTGTGTCCGAGTGAGCCGGGGAGCGGCGACTCGCCCAGGGGCCGTTTGCAAGGAGCAGAGCACGAGCCATCACCCCGGGGCTGCAAAGCCTCCCATGGGGCAGGGTGCTCTCCTTCCCAGCTTTCCTGGCATTGTTTTACCTCCACGTCCTTCCTCCCTGGAATAACTGGCATTGCCACCGCCAAGCATCTCTGCCTGTCCTTCCCTTGGGAGAAGCCACGGATGCCCCGGGAGGAGAGCTGGAGAGGATGCGCTGGTGCTCGGAGCCCCGTGGAGGAGGGCTGTGTCCGTGCCGGGACGGAGCAGGCGCCTCATGCTCTTGACAAATGGAAGCCTGCGTGCTCTTGCTCCTTCGACGGCCCGCGTTCAAACTTGCACCAAAGATCAAACGCCAGTGTCTCTTCTACCGGCGGGGGAAGCTTTGCGCTGTGCCCCCAGCGCTGCCAGCCTAACGAGGAGGAGGAGGAGAGCAAATTTCTGTCTAAACTTGTGTAAATAGAGACTTCGGGTCTGCGCAGGCGGGCGAGGAGCCAGAGAGCTCTGGGTGCCCCGGCTGCCACCGCCTGACCTGCAGAAAGTGCCACTCACCTTGGGCTTTAACCGGACTTCAAATACTGACCATGGGAGAAGCAACAATGAGACTTTTTTTGTATAAAACAAAAAAGTTTACTGATTTTTTTTTTTTTTTTTTTTTTTCAGTATTTATTGGTTGTAAATAGAAGAGATGAACTTGTACATTTTACTAATCCAGCCTCCCCCTGCCCTGCAGCCCAGTCCCTCTCCGCTCCCTCCCTCCCCACCCTGGTATTTAAGGCTGCTGGGAAGGGATGGTGGCAGCAGCAGCAGCGTCACTCGGCTTCATATATGGGGTGCAGACCCCACTGGCCACCTTCCTTTCTCTACCACTAGTCGCTCGAGCAGGGGCAGAGATGCTTGTTTTAATCACTGTAGGAAACACTAACCCAAGGGGACCTTCCTTTTTTTCCCCCTTGCCCCCCCCCCCCCCCCCTTTTTTTTTTTAAGCGATTCCTTCCAGCACCTCTCTGCTTCCCGTCTGTCCGTGCGGCTGTAACACCTTCCCCGGCTCCAGGAGAGGGGCCCAGGTGGTGCCTGGGGATGCAGCAACGCTGCAGGGCCAGACTGGAGGCAGGAGCTGGGCTGTGGGCCCCTGGCAGCAGCTGGGGAAGAGGCTGCTTGGGTGCGAGCGTGGCTGGTGCTGAGTTCTCCCAGCCCCGTGTCCCCTCAGGTGGGATTGCCCATCGCTGCACATGATGGGAGCCCCTGGCTCCCTGACGCAGGGGTAGCCTCCTGCCTCCCACCCTGCCCAGAGCCTGGCTCCTGCCCTCAGGCATCAGCACCCCAGGGGCTTCCCTCTGCTTCGTGCCTGCCAGCTCCTGCCTGCCCTGGGGCCGTGCTGGCCCCCACTGCCCTCCTCCCCTCCCAGCAGTGTTCCCTGGCAGCCCGCCGTCACCGGAGGGACTGGCTGTACCATATGTATTTTGTACCACTTCAATGAAGGAGCACACTGCCTGGTGTGACTTGTACACAGCAATGTAATTAGTCTTTGCAATAAAATACTGATGCTCAAATGTCTCTGCCCCAAGGCAGGGGTTGTCCTGTCCTCCTTCCCCAAAACGTTGGCATGTTCCTGGAGAAAAAGGAGTGGACCTGACTGTGGAGGCGGCACTCGTGCCTGTCATTCGTACCTTATGTTAACTGCTGAGTTGCGCTTTCTTCTGTGCTTGAATTAAGATACAGGCTTTTTGTTTTGAGGGACCAGTGCCCGATTTTCAAGTGAACCCTATTCATTTGAACCTGCATGTTGGGGCTGGCACATTTTCCAGTTGTATAAATGTGAAATCCAGTTGACTGGTTTTACTCCTTTTGATATAAGCAAGAGCTTTAAGAGCAAATGCAATGGTCAGGCCTTACGGTGTGGAGGCAGTGGTCTGCCTTGGTTTGCGGCATCGTTCTTGTGGTGCTCAAGGGCTCCTTTCCTAGCATGGCCACCATGGTTATTTTCTATTTTATAATTGCACAGATATCAGTGGAGATGACTTGGGTGGTGTGGTGATTCTGAGCATGGGTATTAATGATGCAGCTGCACTGTCCAGAATTTCTCCGTGCCTTTGGCAATATAGATTAGTTTAAAGCCTGTGCTTTTGGAAATTAAAGGATCGTATTGTACAGACCAGGCTGGTAACGCCGTTACCTGCTTAGGCAAAATTAAAAATCTAAATCACTGCAGTCTTCCCAGATAAAGGAATTCTGAAAACAGCTGGGAAATAAATGAACTCTGGCACAAGGGAGTTCTGGCTGCCTTGGCTTTGGGCCTCCTGTTGGTAGCTTAGCATTTCTAAGAGTGTTTATTCTTCGTGCCTGCTAATACCTGAGCACTATTCTTACCTGGCAGTGGTATGGCCACCCCAGCTCTCTTTTTTTTTTTCTTAGTTCCCTGTTGCATTGCATTGAGAAGGTAAGTCTGTGGCACAGCCCCTCAGGCCTCTGGATTGCTGCATTGCCAGGACCTGCACCTTACCCTGGCTGGAGGTGCCCTCAGACAGACGGAGCAATGCAGAGCTCCCTCCCCAGTTATAAAGTCTTAAAGCCCTAAGAAATGCTGTTGTACTTACGGTTGCAGCCGCACTACCCCAAGGCAGGAGCACAAGGCAAAGCACAGGATCTCCCAGTGAGCTGTGGTGAGTGCACACCTGAAGAGCCAGTCCACAAATGCAGATTCTGTGTGTGTATACATACACACGCATACGTATCCAGGAGCACGGCTGTGTCACTGAGTGAGAGCCCTGCAGATGTCGCTTTTGTGGGCTGGAGGCCAAACCTAAGGAAATAGCTCAGGCTAACAAAACGCCAGAGAAATTGAGAAGCCTCACACAAGTGCAGGAGGCTGAAATCATATTAACCCATGCATTACAGCACATTATCGGCCACAAATGAGAAACCTTGTACTCATAACACACTGGGGGATGCACAACACTCAGGAGATGCCAGCAGATCCTCAACTGCTGTGACTGGGTGGTAACAACCCAGCCCACAAGGGCAGACTAATGAGTGGCCAAGTTCTGTAGACCCGAAGCTCTGCCCCAGTGCCTGCTTCCTTCCATCCTTGCTAAATTACCAGGGAAGTCAAAACAGAATTGAGAGGTGCACTAGCTAGTGAGGACAACATATGCTACATCCCAGAGAAGTGAATTATTCACTGTCAGAAAGCACTTTTCCCTGCTGGCTTTATTTCGTGGATTGCCAGTGGGGCTTGATGCTGAAACCATGGCACAGCATTTCCATTCTCCTTAGACAAGCAGAAGGGCAGCACTTGCCTGAGAGACCCCCCCCCCAGTAGCACCAGTGTGCTTCCCCCAGTGCTGCCTCAGGCACCTTTTCTGTTTTCCACATGGCCTCCAAGTCAGCCAAGGTGTAATTCCCAGGCACAGAGAGATTTGGGAATGCAACTTCTCCTCTTTTTTTGGGGTATTACCAGCTGGTTTGGATTCTGAGCTCTTTCTTGGGAGTTTGTTGAGCTCCCTTGAAGGCTTATTAGCCAGCAATTACAAAAACGGAGGCACTGGCTCCCAAACATCCACAATGATGCTCATCGGCAGGCACAGCACTCAGTGCAGACAAGTCATTGGCATCTTAGTGCAAGTTCTGCTTCCCCACATCCTGGGCATGGTGGCTGAAGCCTCAGCGCTCAAGGAACAAGAGCAGAGATGATTCTGTCCAGCAGCAGCCAGACTGTTCACTGAGTTCACACATAGTCCAGAATTTCTGTTTCCATTTCATTTTCACTCCCATCAGAAGGCCTCAAGTCCTCTTCCTCCTCCTCTTCATCATCCTCATCCTCTCCAGACTCATATGCCAGCTGCTCTTTGCCATCTTCGCTGCTTGTTGTACTTGAGAAAAGAGCTTAATTGGGAAGAAAGCAAGCAAGCCACTGTGATGCCTCAGTGAAACCTGGGGGCATTTGCAGTAAGAGTTCATAAAACAAGCGAGAGGAAGGCAGACGCCAGAGGGGCACAGTTAGTTAATGTTGCACATCTTAATAGAATTCGATTAAGCCCAAAGCAATCTGTTTTCATATTCCAGGAACACTAGCAGAACAGCAGCAGATCCGCAGTGCTGTGCCTCCTCTCCTAGCTGATTCTCACATAATTCACTGGGATACTGCTTTGGTCCAGCATCATGCAAAAATAATTTCCTCACTTCTTGTTCAATTAAGAACACCAATAAAAAGTAAAATGCCACCAACAGATAAATCAGTAAGAATACGGTCTTGATAATCACTGAGCAAAGACATTTAAAACCTGAAGGCCATGATACTGGGAAAATGAAACACCACCTTTACTCCCGGCCACTCCTAATCCCAACCCACATTCACACTGCAGGACAACAGCCTCAGCTCACACACTGTGGTGAGCTAGAACACAAAGAACACCAGCTGTAGCACAAAGGAGGAGGCAAATACAGGAACACTACTGCCCCAGTGCTGACTACATCTTCAGTCAGCCCACAACATCTCAATACCATCAGGAAGGCAGTAATACACTGTAGTGATAGGCAGTAAGGCAGTAATAATACACTTGGATGTTCAGAAGCATCCTTACCAGGTCTCGTGGATCTGATTATCTGCTTTATCATCAGAGACATGGAATCTCGCAGATCGTCGCTAGTCTTTGGAAGGCACCACCCATCCCGCTCTGTGCATTCTGACTCTGTGCCGTCATTCCGATGGATGATTTTCTGTAGGCTAAAAAGCAGCAAAAGGGAAGGATATGTTAGCCATCTATGTTCAGATGTAGGCTTCAAATGAGACAGACTCTGGCTTCTGGTTTACTTCACTGAGTTGGGCTAGCTTATTTGGTTATTCACGTAATTGTCTCATGGGAAATGAAGTTCATGTGTGAAAAGTCTGTTCTATTTCCATGCAGAAGCTACACACTCCTGAAGTTTCTGGTCAAGGAGAGAGAGGGGAATGGACTGGATGTAAACACTAGGTTTTGAAATCTAGCTCTAACAGAAGACTCATCTGCCAGTGTGCAATACCTTTCTACATTCAAGTCACAGAGCTGGTAGAACATCTGCCGATACGGGGGTAAGGCTCCTTCTCGGAAAATGTAGATGGATTCCTAAGAGGGGGAAAGAAAGAAAGGATTAATGTGCATTTTATGGTGTAACAGGACAATTCTAGCATAACTGACAAGTACTTCTGATGGGCAAAATGAGCTCCAAAGCACAGGTCTGCATATGGCAAAAGATAAAAGCTGAATGAGGAACGCAGCAAAATTTCACTGCAGTCGTAGTCACAGCAGCACAGTTGTGCAGAGAACGCACTTCATCTCTTCAAACTGCAGCTCTGTCTGCAGCCTGTTACTGCGTTAACAGTGGATGATAGGTTTTATGCTAGCAAAAAGGAAAGAATGTAAGACTCCTGTTTAAATATTCATTTTGCCCTGCTGGATTCTTTGTACTTCACTGTCCATAAAGTTCCAATTTTATCAATTGAAACAAAATGCTCATCACATCTAAGACTAGGGCTGAGAAAACGAATCCCATCTTGCAGCATGTAAGCATGCATACATTCAGTGCATGGCAGGTGAAGTTCTGTAGTGACATGTACAGCTCACAGCGTCCCATGGTAAACCCGAGGACATCAACTCACTCACAACTGTCCTGACAAAACAGGAAACACCCCCATTTCATTAAGCTATTTCAGGATTCTAGTAAAAGAGAGTAACGCTTACCTTCAGTTTATACCTGCTGGATGCAGGATTTTTTGCACCGGACGCACCAGACGTACCAAGCCCCTGTTTCAGATCATGGACACTGACTGTATGACTTACTGCAAGACAAAAAAAAAAAAAAAAAAAAAAAAAGGAGTCCTAATTAGGGGCAGCTCGCTCTGTGGCACTGCACTGTCACTTCTCTATGTTGATTCAACTTTGCTGGTCAGCGAAAACCAGATCAACCCAGCAAGTGAGCATGTGTTGCTTATTCTTCAGAGACATTTCTGGACAGTCATAGGAAAGGTGGTGACTTGGCAGCTTTTTCTGCAACGCATTTGTTCATAATTTTCATCTTTTCTACTCTCCCTTGACAAAGTAAAGAAAACAACTCTCCCCATACTCTGCACCATCACTGAACAGAAGCAAATGCTGAATTCTCAGTGTTGCTTGCAGAAGTCCCTTCCGTCTGCCAATACCGTGGCTCAGCCAGACATGCATCCAGGACTCTCACGACACTTCCCAGCAGGAGACTCCTCTACCGGCTTTAACAGCAGCACCATATAACAACCAGAAATAAAGCTCCAATTCTGGCTCAGCTGGAACACAGGAAGACTCTTCACTACCTGTGACTAGGATGGGGTAAAGAAAGCAACAGAAGAGGCACACAGCCCTTGTGCTGGCACAGCATACCTGGCTTCTTGACAGTGATGGGCAGGCTGTAGTTATACGTGCTGCGTTTTGCTTTCACGGGCATATCATTGGGGGCGTAACCTAGAGGTGAAAAAAAACCAATCAGGAATGGAAGGCAAGCACCCTGCAGAACATCCCTAGCCCAGAAACAGAGGTGCTGGACGGGTGTGTGAAAGGCTGCACGGTCTTTGGGATACACTGACTTCAGCAAGGTGGGGAGAGGAGAGCTATGAGATCAACAAAACCCTGGAAAGCGGGGGAGATGCGATCTGATGGTAATGACTGGGAGCCAGCTCTGTCATGGACTTACTAAATGACATCAGAAAGTCCTTTCCCTCAGCTTGCCCTCTGCAAAACCAGAGCTTGGGAACCCTATTTTCAAAGGTCTGAGACCCAGCGTCCTGCACAAGATGTTGAGGTCCTTGAGGAAAAGCTACTATGTAAGCAACAGAATCTACTGCTCAGTGTCTCCCCTGAGCAAGACAGGAGGTCTGCTACATCCGCTTGGGCTTGAACACATGGAGAAGGAAAGTCAGCCAGCTGTCCATTGGGTTTGCAATGTGCTAGGAAAGACATATTGCATACTATGAAATAAAGGAGTTTACAGAAGAGCTAAGCAATGAACTCAAAAGGTGTCATCTTCATCAGAGCAGAGATATGGCAAAAGCATTTGAAAAACAAGTAAAAAGAGAAGTACTACCAGCATTAACCAGAAAGCAGAGAGAGCGTCTCTGTGGTTTGGGCCCTTTTACCATATTTCATTCCACAGCGAATTCGGAAGTCCAGTACTTGATAAATCTTTGCTTCAGGGTGTTTTCTGGGGTCATACCCAAACCTGACCCATAAGCTTCTCCAAGGACCTGTCAACTGTATAAATACACATGGGGGAAGATGGTTAGAAAAAAACAGTACAGTGTAGCAGGTTTCTTCAGTACAGTGTTGCAGAGTTTCTTAGAAAATTCTCACATTTCCCCTCATTGCCCCAAAATTATTTCTTTCACCAGTTTCTTCCTCAATTGCCACACCAGTATATACTGAAATTTGGGCAATCCATGTACTTCTAGAAACTAACCTGCAAGGTCACAATAAAGTGGAAATATTCTGCGACCATTGCCAGATGGAGTGTCAGTTTGAGTGTCTGACTGAACTGCAAAGCCGATCAGAACCAAAGGAGCGAACAGTTACTGAATCCTCCATGGTTTTAACCTCTGTTGAAAAGCAAGGCTTTCATTCCCTCTTTACATAATGTTAAGCTCAGGTACTTAGTGGTGGGACCTCAGAAACTGTAAAGAACCAGGGACACCTAGCTGATGCTCCCTTGCTCCGCCTCCCTGCAGCCTCTGACAGGCACAAGGACAGATGGACAGACTTACCATGTAATAGGCCAAATACGGCAACAGAAGTTTCAGCTTGTCCGGGTGGACACTGATATTGGCTTTTACTGCATTCCGAGACCAGACAGGACGCACTTCAAAGAGCTAAAATAAACCAGAAACAACCATGGAAACATTGAGAAGTTAGTTACTAAAGGCAGTTCAGCTTTCCAAGTGGAGTCCTGTATCGGGGCCTTTGGCCCTTAGAATGAGCTATCAGATCAGTAACGTAAGAACTAGTGGCACAAAAAGGAACTTCACATGAGTTTGCTGCAAACACAGATACAGATCCTGACTTGCGTAATTGAACTGAAGGCAGCAGTGTCAGTGGTGTCTACAGATGCTTACTGTATCGGCCAGTTACAATCAGCAAGAATTTCTGGGGAGTCATAGAAAATGGCTGCATACATTTTTTCCTACACAGCATGCTCAAGTCAGGAAATAAAGGCACATACCTTTCTCAGCTCTTCCTCCACCTTCTTATCCACAGGATTGGTGCACACTTTCTTCCAGGTCTGTACGGCAGCATCCAGGGGCTTAGATGGGATTTCTTCCTCATCAAAGTTCACAAAGATAGCGTTGTGCGGGCGACGGGCCCTGCTGAGGCTTCCTCCTCTTGGTCATCCTCATCCTCTCCGGACTCGTATGCCAGCTGCTCTTTGCCATCTTCGCTGCTTGTTTAACCCAAGAAAGCCCTTCTGCTGGCACAGCATACCTGGCTTCTTGACAGTGATGGGCAGGCTGTAGTTATACGTGCTGCGTTTTGCTTTCACAGGCATATCATTGGGGGCGTAACCTAGAGGTGAAAAAAACCCAATCAATCAGGAATGGAGGGCAAGCATCCTGCAGAACATCCCTAGCCCAGAAACAGAGGTGCTGGACGGGTGTGTGAAAGGCTGCACGGTCTTTGGGATACACTGACTTCAGCAAGGTGGGGAGAGGAGAGCTATGAGATCAACAAAACCCTGGAAAGCGGGGGAGATGCGATCTGATGGTAATGACTGGGAGCCAGCTCTGTCATGGACTTACTAAATGACATCAGAAAGTCCTTTCCCTCAGCTTGCCCTCTGCAAAACCAGAGCTTGGGAACCCTATTTTCAAAGGTCTGAGACCCAGCGTCCTGCACAAGATGTTGAGGTCCTTGAGGAAAAGCTACTATGTAAGCAACAGAATCTACTGCTCAGTGTCTCCCCTGAGCAAGACAGGAGGTCTGCTACATCCGCTTGGGCTTGAACACATGGAGAAGGAAAGTCAGCCAGCTGTCCATTGGGTTTGCAATGTGCTAGGAAAGACATATTGCATACTATGAAATAAAGGAGTTTACAGAAGAGCTAAGCAATGAACTCAAAAGGTGTCATCTTCATCAGAGCAGAGATATGGCAAAAGCATTTGAAAAACAAGTAAAAAGAGAAGTACTACCAGCATTAACCAGAAAGCAGAGAGAGCGTCTCTGTGGTTTGGGCCCTTTTACCATATTTCATTCCACAGCGAATTCGGAAGTCCAGTACTTGATAAATCTTTGCTTCAGGGTGTTTTCTGGGGTCATACCCAAACCTGACCCATAAGCTTCTCCAAGGACCTGTCAACTGTATAAATACACATGGGGGAAGATGGTTAGAAAAAAACAGTACAGTGTAGCAGGTTTCTTCAGTACAGTGTTGCAGAGTTTCTTAGAAAATTCTCACATTTCCCCTCATTGCCCCAAAATTATTTCTTTCACCAGTTTCTTCCTCAATTGCCACACCAGTATATACTGAAATTTGGGCAATCCATGTACTTCTAGAAACTAACCTGCAAGGTCACAATAAAGTGGAAATATTCTGCGACCATTGCCAGATGGAGTGTCAGTTTGAGTGTCTGACTGAACTGCAAAGCCGATCAGAACCAAAGGAGCGAACAGTTACTGACTCCTCCATGGTTTTAACCTCTGTTGAAAAGCAAGGCTTTCATTCCCTCTTTACATAATGTTAAGCTCAGGTACTTAGTGGTGGGACCTCAGAAACTGTAAAGAACCAGGGACACCTAGCTGATGCTCCCTTGCTCCGCCTCCCTGCAGCCTCTGACAGGCACAAGGACAGATGGACAGACTTACCATGTAATAGGCCAAATACGGCAACAGAAGTTTCAGCTTGTCCGGGTGGACACTGATATTGGCTTTTACTGCATTCCGAGACCAGACAGGACGCACTTCAAAGAGCTAAAATAAACCAGAAACAACCATGGAAACATTGAGAAGTTAGTTACTAAAGGCAGTTCAGCTTTCCAAGTGGAGTCCTGTATCGGGGCCTTTGGCCCTTAGAATGAGCTATCAGATCAGTAACGTAAGAACTAGTGGCACAAAAAGGAACTTCACATGAGTTTGCTGCAAACACAGATACAGATCCTGACTTGCGTAATTGAACTGAAGGCAGCAGTGTCAGTGGTGTCTACAGATGCTTACTGTATCGGCCAGTTACAATCAGCAAGAATTTCTGGGGAGTCATAGAAAATGGCTGCATACATTTTTTCCTACACAGCATGCTCAAGTCAGGAAATAAAGGCACATACCTTTCTCAGCTCTTCCTCCACCTTCTTATCCACAGGATTGGTGCACACTTTCTTCCAGGTCTGTACGGCAGCATCCAGGGGCTTAGATGGGATTTCTTCCTCATCAAAGTTCACAAAGATAGCGTTGTGCGGGCGACGGGCCCTGCTGAGGCCAATCAGGTTCTCACCAGACACCTGGGGATTGTTGTATCCCTCCCTAAGGAGAGGGAAAGGATCGTGTTTGCTTTCTGCCTCTGGCACGCACAGGCTCGGGGCCTTCACGGGAACATGCCAAAATGGAAGTTTGTGCTCCAGATCTCAGAAAAGCAGTGAGCAGTGGGTTGGTTTGCCTTTGGCCCCACCTCCCCGTGGATTTTGGAATCACATCCTGGTACCATAAAAGGCTCCTGTGACACCACTGAGGAAAGACAATTTACATTCAACCCCCCTGCAGAGCTACACCCAGCTGCACAGTGACACAGGCCCCCTGTACACAAAATCTGACACAAAACCCTCAGGCACTTGGCTGCCAATCCATAGGAAACAAAAAGTCTTCACCCCTTGCATTTGCTCTACTACAGTTGCTGCAGCTCAGCAGGGTGCAAGGGCAAGGCAAGATGGAAATGCAGTTAAGATTATTTTTTTCTTTTTTTTAAGTGCCAATGAAGGACTACAGTGAGAAAATGAAAGATGTTTCCTGTGGGAGACCTCACAGATTGTTCTCCTGGCAAAACCAAGCAGGGGCCAGGAGGGAACAGGTCCAGCGAGCGTGATCGCAGGAACACATGGCATCGACTCGTGCACGCTCCTGCCTCAGCTCTAGCCTGATGCTTCAAGAGCACAGATCCTATAACAAC